TAATATTCTAAATCCTTTGTTGTCATTTCAACAATCTTCACAGTATCTTCGCCAGGAGTAGATTCTATCTTAAGAAACCACTTTCTTTTGTTTATCCACAAGAAACAACTCCTCATCCATTCAAATTTTATCATGAGATTGCAGCAATTCAGTCACATCTTTAGGCTCTGCTTCTAATTCTAGATCTCTTGGTGTTTCTTACTACATCTGCAGTTACTTCCTCCACTAACGTCCTGAACCCCTCAAAGTCATCTATGAAGGTTGGAATCAGCTTCTTCCAAAGTCTTGTTAAAGGTGATATTTTCACCTCTTCCCATGAATTGGGAATGTGCCTTAATGGTATCTAGAATGGTAAATCATTTCCAGAGGTGTTTAATTTACTTTGCACAGATCCATCAGAAGAATCACTATTTATGGCAGTTATAGCCTTATGGAATGTATTTCTTTAATAATAACACTTGAAAGTAGAAATTACTCCTTGATCTGCCAGCTTCAGAATAAATGTTATGTAAGCAGGCATGAAAACAATATTCATCTCACTGTACATCTCCATCAGATCTCTGGGGTGACCAGTGTATTGTCAATGAACGATAATATTTGAAAGGGATCATTTTTTTCTGGGTGGTAGGTCTCCACAGTGGGCTTAAAATATTTAGTAAACTGTGTTGTAAACAGATGTGGGGTCATCCAGGCTTTGTTGTTCCATTTATAGAGCACAGACAGAGTAGACTCAGCACAATCCCTAAGGGCCTTAGGATGATCAGAATGGTAAATGAGCACTGGTTTTAACTTAAAGTTACCAGCTAGGTTAGCCTCTAAGAAGAGAGTCAGCCTGTTCTTTCAAGCTTTGAAGCCAGGCACTGACCTCTCTCCTCTAGGTATGAAAGTTGAAATGTTCAGTATGGTTACTTTCATGAATTATTATCTTCTAGATAACTTGCTGCAGCTTCTACATGAGTGCTTACTACTTCACCTTGCACTTTTTCGTTGTGGAGATGGCTTCTTTCTTTAAACCTCAGGAACCATCCTCTGCTGGCTTCAAACTTTTCTTCTGTAACTTCCTCACCTCTCTTAGCTTTCACAGAATTATAAAGAGTTAGGTCCTTGCTCTGGATTAGTCTTTGTTTTAAAGGAATGTTGTGGCTGCTTTGATTTTCTGTCCAGACCACTAAAACTTCAGTGGACATTGAGATAGGGGACATTTCCTTGTACAGGACACAAAAATCAGAAACCATGGAGGAAAGATGGATAAATTCAAGCTTTATTAAAATGAAAAACTTCTGTGCAAAAAAAAATTCCACAAACAATGAAAGAAGAAAAAAAATAGTCTGAGGTAGATACTTGTACTCTATATAAAAAGGAATCCCATAACTTAATAAGAAAGTGATAGTCAATCCAATTGAAAAGAATATGAATAGGTCACATAGGAGGCAGTGTAAGTGGTTGATAAACATATGAAAAGATGCTCCAGTTCACAAGTAACCAGGAAGTTGCAAACAACAACAAAAGTTGGCAAAGATGTCGGGAAATGGGAACACTTATGCATCTGAGTGTGGCATATTTTGGAACCACCATTGTGAGAGAAATTTAGCAGTACCTAATAAAGCTGAAGATGTACAGACCATCTCTCCCACCTGTCCACAGATGGCAGGTAGTTGGTGAATACCAACTGACCAACTGACTTAATCTGAAAAATTTAAAAAAAAAAGGTATTTACATGGAGACAAATGGAAAAATTGCTTTTCCGAATGAATTTTTAAGTACCTGCTGTGCCTGCCAACAAGAAGAGAAAGGCAACTAATTGAAATTATGTATTTCAAAATAAGTGGGCATGAGAAGAACTTCTTCAGAAGTAAAAGCACTGCTCTGTGGTCATTTTCATTTAACAACTAAAGATGACAAAAGGAGAGGAGCCAAGTAGCTTATGACCTCACTGTGGAAAGGCAAAATAAATCAGCTCCGAAATTGTCTTACTCAGCAATAAAATTTATCCAAAGGTGCAATACTGAAGTCAGATTCTGCAGTGCAGACTAATCAGATGGTTCTTGAGCTTTAAGCTATAAGATGAAACTTTCAAATGCTTAAATGTATTTGTAGCTATTGAATTTCCTGATTTAAAAAAAAAACTCTGTTTCTATTGTAGGTTTTTAAAATAATTGACTCCTAAGCATCTTATTTTTCTTGAATTGGCCCTGGTACAAAAAGTTTGTTCATTGCTGCCTTAAGTATAACTGTGTGTAACAAGAACAAAGGCTTAAAGGAGGGGATTCACCTAATTGAGCAATGTTGGAGACAATGGGAAATAGTTTTAAAAGCAGTGGCCTTTTTCCCACTGGAAAGCATCTACCCAGTACTATCCTGCAGGCTGCATTGATTTGCCTCTTTATAAGACCAATCATTATAGGCACATAGAAAATAAAAACCTGCCCCAGTGATTTTGAGAAATGACCAAAGGGAAACTATTTGCTCTGCCACTCCCAAACCTGAGCATATGTATACTTTTGAATGAATGTATCTTTGGTCTGCGTGGCTAGCGGGAGATTTTTCGGTAGGTTTCCCACTCGGAATGAACACACAGTCCCAAGGGTAAGGGCAAACACTGAGGGCCTGGCCCTAAGGCCTTATTTGATCAGGTAAGCAAGTTTAAAGGGTTAAATAAGGAAATAATGAGTGAGTTGGGTTTATGAGTGGGGTTGCCTAGGGTTTATGATTTACTTTATCTACCTATACTTCTCCTTTAGCAACTGGTTTGGGGGGAGGGGTGCATGGTGTGCTACTCAGCCTGGTAACTGATGAAAATGATTGCCCTATTCTAGTCTAAATTAAATGGGGTTGAGATTTTAGAGTGACAGCAAGGTGACAGCTGCCCTTTCAGACCTGGGTTTTCAGAGAGGACAAGAGGAGAGAATTAGGAAAAGGGAGCCTTATTATTATAATCCTGTCAGGCTTAGGGACAGGGAGGTAGATGTTCATGGGCTTTTGAAAAGAAAACATGTGTCAAGTCAGGCTCTTCAAGCTGATAGCAAACAGAGGCACATTTTCACAATACTAAAGGTGCCCCAGTGCTATATAAGGCACCTTTGAAGATCACTTCATCGGGGGTGGCTGCTTTGGACACTGGATGTGCACAGGTGCACCTTAGCACAAAAGGGCACCTACCTGGTGGGCATTCTAAGGGAGGAGAGTAATGTGCCCTTTTAAGCCTTCACCATCTGTTAATACTTTACAAATCCTTCATGGCCTTATCAACTCCTGCCGCCTCAAAGTGCCTTTCCATCCAAAATGCCGCAAATGTCCTGAGCCCTCTGAACACACTCTAGGTGGATACTGACCATTCCTTCACACCAGTAGCTCTAGGATTTGCCTCCAGGTCATGATAATCAGAGCATGTTAGAGCTTCAGTCTGTGGTCCGAAGAAGAATTTTGCAAATGAGAAAGTAAGGCCCAGATAGGTGAAGTGACTTGCTAAAGTAGTCACTGGAAGATCTAGCTTCCAAACTAGCTGCAGACTCAGTCTTGTGCTGGGGGCCCTATGCTCCAATGTCTAGGGATAGAGGATGTCCTGGATCTGGGAGAAATTCTTCAGGAAAAGGGCAGATTCCTGTCCTCCCGGTCAGGGCCTCCTATCCTCCACTGTCCCCACCCCCTGCAATGCCCCAAGCCACTTCCAACTCATTAGAGAATACCACCGACTTTAAACTCCACATAGCAGGAGACCTAGAAAATCCTGGGCCACGAAGAGGTCCTGGGCAGGAAAAAAAACAAGCGCCTGCAGACCCACCATTCCAGATGGCGAAGTTACATCTCTGTGCAGTTTAATTACAAAATACTCTTTGTGACTGGAACATAGGGAGAGGTTATTCCTTTTTTTAAAGAGCCAGTTTCCCCCTCTTGGTAGCCCTGCCCCCCCGCCCCCCACCCCAGGCACGTCAGCACCTCTAAGTGTACGGCAGGAAAATGCACTTGGACTTCACAAACATTTCCACTGGTGAAGCTAGGAATTCTTAGAAAGGCAGCCTAGCACAGGGTCTGAGTGGAGTCTGTTACTGAGAATTCTGGTTCTCATGTTTTTCTCAGTGTTTGTTTATGAAATCTGCAGATTTTATGTGTTTTCAGCTTTTAAAATGCATTATGATGGCCTTTAGAGGCCTTAGGTAGTGTGTGTGTGTGTGTGTGTGTGTGTGTGTGTGTTCCTTTAAGAGGCAGCTCTCTGAAAGACAGGGTTTCCCTAATTAAAGCCAGAGAGCTCATTGGAGGGAGTGGCTGCAGGGCTCCGTGCATGGGGAGAGGAATTGTTTTTTTATTCCTGGGATCCTCCTTCTCCCTCTCCCTCCACTGTCCAGATGAGGAAGAAGAAGTGGGAGATTATTTACCTATTCACCTAGTGAAGAGGTACACATGGCATGTGGGAATGAAATCATCCATAGATACCTTTAGTCATCATAAGTAAAAAAGCTAATACCCCTATATCCGACAATTGAGACATTGTGGTTAGAAGAAAGATACAATTTTATAGGTAATTGAATTAGAAACATTTTTTACAGGTTGTACCTGCCCATGCCACTTTATTTCCCACTGCTCCCTTGTGTTGGCCCTGGGGTTTTCTTGGGCAGGGCCCTTTGCTATCCACTGCTGCAATGTGCTCGTTCCTCTCTCTGCCTTTCTTCAAGCCTCTCCCTCCTGCCTGGAATGGGCACCCCATTCTCTTTCTCCCTTTGCCTCTGGCCTAGCCAAGCCTTGCCTTGGCTCCAACCTGCTTCCCAGTTTATTTCCCCCCTTGGATGCTCTCTTAGCTAACTTTGTCCCTGCATATAGTCTGAGCCCCTCATTACAGTAAACAGCTACTGGCTGCTCTTATATTTGCCCGATGTCTCTTTACCTCTTCTCCTGATGATGTCACCTCCTCCTCCTTTGGGAGAACTGTGCATCCCCATTCTGTATAGCTTCCCTGATATGTGTTCCCCAAATCCTCATTTCTAACACTTACTACACTTTTTCAGGGGCCTCTCAAGAGAGTGAATGCTACTTAAGAGGGGGAGACTGCCTGCAGGGCTTACCGCTGTGCCCTCCATGCCTACCTTGCTGCCTAGCTCATAGTAGGAGCCCAAGGAATGCTTCGAGAAGGAAATGAAGAACCAGAAGTCAGAGCATCTTGACTTGCAGAAGAAGGAAGATGCCTTATTCAGATAATTCAGAGAAAACTTCACTTTGGCATAGACAAGTCAGTACTGTTCTCTTCTGCACATGTCAACATTTTTCTACTCTATGCTTCAGTTTGACTGCAATGATTAGGTCAGATTGAGACCTTCAGAGCTGAACCCCTTTGTAGACCAGACCATGTAGGAGGAAGCCACAGTACAGATGCTGGGCAGAGATTCTGTGTGAAACATAGGGAAACGCAAGGACGTTAGGGTTGCAGACAAGGGGAGAAAGGTCAAGGTGAGGAAGTATAGGTAGGGGGACAGTCTCGTAGTGCTCTGCAAGGGGAGTCTTGAGACATTTAGAAATGTCTAACCTGAACCTTGAAGCCACAGTGAAACCTCTCTGGCCTCCCTCTCAGTTGGGTAATTTTTTGTTTACATTTTTTGCATAATTATGCATTTCCAGTTAAGAGGCTGGAATGCCAAGGGCTTCTCTTCTTCCCATTGTTTCCCTGGGGGTTTATTTGGAAGAGCTATGAATAGCAGGATAGGCTCCCTGACCTTCCTCTACTTGATTTCCACACTAGAGTGGCCAATTCAATCTTTATCTGAAAACATCTACACTCTTTGGGATGAAGTCTTAATTTAGCAGAAACCCAAGAAAAGCCAAGCCAAAAAAGGAGTAGTCAGAAAAATTACAGATCACATGCCCTTTTAGGGATTATTGACTGTGAGCTAAAATGCAAATCACCTCAGTGCCCCCAGAACTCATATAGGTCCCCATTTCTTCTCCTTCCACTTCTACCCACCTCTCTTCACGTCCTCAGAACCTTCCTGATGGCTCTAATTTTCCTCTTAAGTGATGGAAAAAAATAATGTATTGCTTTTCAGGGGTACTTGGAATTTAGCAAGGGATAAATCCATAAGCCAAAGGAATGAGTCTCAAGGTGTAGGATTTAGGTATCAGGGGGGATTTTTCTGGGGTAAGAAACTTTTCTAGAGCTTCTGAAGTCATGCCATTTCGGTGCTTGCCAGTCAGCCTATTCTTAAGGCAACCCTTCCTTATAGGATATTGTTATATGCGATTTTTATTATTTCTGGCTTCTCAGGCATCCTTCCCAACCCTAGCACACTATATCCAGCAGTTTGGGGGCAGAGCAATCCTATTTCTCCAGGAAAATAAAATATCCCCTGGAAGTTTCAGGCCTTTCCTTTAAATTTTACTACACAGAAATTGTGTAGATAAGAGACTATTTCTTTTTCATGTTCAGGTTCCCAGTGCCTAGCACAGAGCCTGGCATCTAGGTGCCTAGTAAATTGAATGTAAGTGACTCTAACCACATTGGTATAACTAGTCCTTGTTCAGTTTAGAACAGATGCTGTATTTGCTGGAAATCTGTAAAAGCAAAACAGAATGGTGTTGATTATTAGTTTTCTCTTGAAAGCAAGCAACAGAATGCCTGCCTAAAAGTTGCTTACATAGAGGGGTTTATTTTTCTCTTCACCCAACAATTAGTCCAGAAGTAGGGTCTGTTCTGAAGCTGATGAGGACATCAAGGAGCCAGACCTTTCCATTTTTCCACTGCTTATTCCTCATTTGGTCAGAGGTGTCTTTTCTTATGGTCACAATATAGCTGCCAGAGCTCCAAGCGCTATCTTCTCAGCAGCTGCATTTGGGTCAGTGTGGTCCATCCTAATCTCTCTCTCTGTGGGGGAGGAAATCTGCCCCAGAAACCTCAGTACACTTCCTCTTATACCTGATTGCCCCAAAGTAGATCACATGGTCCCTCTACACTAATCACAGTGTAGGGGAATGAAATCACCTTCAGGGGCTTCCGCAGTCTCAGGCTTTCTGACCCAGGAGAGCAGTTGCTCTTCCCTGACCACCGTGGCCCCAGTACCTGAGCCCAGCGGACAGAGTGGGAGTACTTCTCTGGTAAATGACCAAGAGCGTCAGCCCAGACTCAAGCATAGCAATATTCCTCTCAGGTTTTTTTCTGCAGATATAAATCCAGGTTGGCTACTTCTCAAGATAGATAGCCAGTTAATTGAGAAGGAGGAGACTTTAAGAGACCCAAGACTATATTATTATTTTTAATTAATGCCTTTTTAGAATTTATAGGAAGAGTTGAACTATCCTGCCACAAAGCGATTTTACTTTAAAGGAAATTGTCTTAGAATGTTTTCATAAGGTTAAATATCCCACTCAAATTTACTTTTCCTCTTAAAAGAGAAACTTAACAAACTTTACCATGAACTATACTTAATCCATTTGCATGGGAGTACTTGACATTTTGACTGGTAACAGATCTTTAATATTTGAGCTTGTTGTTTTTTACAGTGTAATTTTTTTTTTTAAATCCCATTCTAAATTCGATAGGTGGGTGTGAATGGGAAAAACATTCACTATTTTGGTTTGCTTGGGTTGGGAGGGAAGCACAGGAATCCAAGTTCCAAAGTCTGGTTTAGAAGGTAACTCGAGACCTGTGAGGACATTGAGAAAACCACACTCTATTACTTCTGTGCATTGCTAAAAGTTGTGGAAGGAAAGAAACATGGTTCTGTGCATGCATGCAGCAAAAGAATCTGACCTAGACCCTGAGGCCCAGGAAGGCTTCATCCGGAAGTGATACCTAGGGTGAGACCTAGAGAAGTAAAGTAGTGGAACAGGTAATGGGTGGGGTGAGGAGGAAAGAGGGCATTGCGGGCAGAACGAACTGCATTGTGAAAGTCCTGCGGTAGGAGAGGGCAGAGAGCTTCTTCCGGGGCTGCCTAAGGCCTGGGTGGCTGTAGTGCTGGAGTGAGCAGAGAGAAGTAGGAGATGAGGCTGCAGAGGAGAGCGGGGATCAGACCACAAAAAAGCAGAGCACTTTCTGGTGTCTCTTCTTTTTTTCTTAATTTTTTATTGTTATGTTAATCACCATACATTACATCATTAGTTCTTGATGTACTGTTCCATGATTCATTGTTTGCGCACAACACCCAGTGCTCCACGCAGAATGTGCCCTCTTTAATACCCATCACCAGGCTAACCCATTCCCCCATGCTCCTCCCCTCTAAAACCCTCAGTTTGTTTCTCAGAGTCCATCGTCTCTCATGGTTCCTCTCCCCCTCTGACTTACTCCCCTTCATTCTTCCCCTCCTGCTATCTTCTTCTTTTTCTTTTTTCTTAACATATCTTGTGTTATTTGTCTCAGAAGTACAGATCTGTGATTCAACAGTCTTGCACAATTCACAGTGCTCACCAGAGCACATACCCTCCCCAATGTCTATCACCCAAGCCACCCCATCCCTCCCACCCCCCACCACTCCAGCAACCCTCAGTTTGTTTCCTGAGATTAAGAATTCCTCTTATCAGTGAGGTCATATGATACACGTCTTTCTCTGATTGACTTATTTCACTCAGCATAACACCCTCCAGTTCCATCCACGTCGTTGCAAATGGCAAGATCTCATTCCTTTTGATGGCTGCATAGTATTCCATTGTGTATATATACCACTTCTTCTTTATCCTTTCATCTGTCGATGGACATCTTGGCTCTTTCCACAGTTTGGCTCTTGTGGACATTGCTGCTATAAACATCGGGGTGCACGTACCCCTTCGGATCCCTACATTTGTATCTTTAGGGTAAATACCCAGTAGTGCAATTGCTGGATCATATGGTAGCTCTATTTTCAACTGTTTGAGGAACCTCCATACTGTTTTCCAGAGTGGTTGCACCAGCTTGCATTCCCACCAACAGTGTAGGAGGGTTCCCCTTTCTCCGCATCCCCGCCAACATCTGTCGTTTCCTGACTTGTTAATTTTAGCCATTCTGACCGGTGTGAGGTGGTATCTCATTGAGGTTTTGATTTGGATTTCCCTGATGCCGAGCGATGTTGAGCACTTTTTCATGTGTCTGTTGGCCATTTGGATGTCTTCTTTGGAAAAATGTCTGTTCATGTCTTCTGCCCATTTCTTGATTGGATCATTTGTTCTTTGGGTGTTGAGTTTAAGAAGTTCTTTATAAATTCTGGATACTAGCCCTTTATCTGATATGTCATTTGCAAATATCTTGTCCCATTCTGTCGGTTGTCTTTTGGTTTTGTGGACTGTTTCTTTTGCTGTGCAAAAGCTTTTTATCTTGATGAGGTCCCAGTAGTTCATTTTTGCCCTCGCTTCCCTTGCCTTTGGCGAAGTTTCTAGGAAGAAGTTGCTGCGGCTGAGGTTGAAGAGGTTGCTGCCTGTGTTCTCCTTTAGGATTTTGATGGACTCCTGTCTCACGTTTAGGTCTTTCAACCATTTGGAGTCTATTTTTGTGTGTGGTGTAAGGAAATGGTCCAGTTTCATTCTTCTGCATGTGGCTGTCCAATTTTCCCAACACCATTTGTTGAAGAGACTGTTTTTTTGCCATTGGACATTCTTTTCTGCTTTGTCAAAGATGAGTTGACCATAGAGTTGAGGGCCCATTTCTGGGCTCTCTATTCTGTTCCATTGATCTATTGTGTCTGTTTTTGTTCCAGTACCATACTGTCTTGATGATGACAGCTTTGTAATAGAGCTGGAAGTCCGGAATTGTGATGCCGCCAGCTTTGCTTTTCTTTTTCAACATTCCTCTGGCTATTTGGGGTCTCTTCTGGTTGCATACAAATTTTAGGATTCTTTGTTCCATTTCTTTGAAAAAAGTGGATGGTATTTTGATGGGGATTGCACTGAATGTGTAGATTGCTCTAGGTAGCATTGACATCTTCACAATGTTTGTTCTTCCAATCCATGAGCATGGAACGTTTTTCCATTTCTTTGTGTCTTCTTCAATTTCTTTCATGAGTATTTTACAGTTTTCTGAGTACAGATCCTTTGCCTCTTTGGTTAGATTTATTCCTAGGTATCTTATGGTTTTGGGTGCAATTGTAAATGGGATCGACTCCTTGATTTGTCTCTCTTCTGTCTTGTTGTTGGTGTATAGGAATGCCGCTGATTTCTGCACATTGATTTTATATCCTGCTACTTTACTGAATTCCTGTATGAGTTCTAGCAGTTTTGGAGTGGAGTCCTTTGGGTTTTCCACATACAGTATCATATCATCTGCAAAGAGTGAGA